ATGTGATCATGTATATTTCATAGTCTCAAAACTTTAACTGCCAGAAGTCCAAATTTGTCAGCATAATAACTAAGTCCAATTTCAATATGGTTTTAGCTTGCCATCCCCATTGTACTAGCTCTGCCAATATTAAACTACTTGCTATTCCTCAAGCTCTCAGTGAATATTGTTTTCACATTTCTGTGCCTTTATTCAAACTGGGCCCTTTGCCTTGAATGCCCTTTCCCTTCCATTTCACTTAACTCCTGCCCAGTGATTTCCTATTTATTCTTCAAGGCTAAGGTACAATCACTATCAGTTTGTCTCCCTTTGTTTAATTTTTTGAGGGGAGGGATTATAATGTACTCTACTAAAATGCCTAGTATAATCTCAGGCATATAGTTGATGCTCAATAATAAATATTTATTAAATTGACAAATAAATTAGTGAATGTATAGAAACATGGGAGGATTATTTGGTTGGCTGGAAGGATGGGCAATAAAAAATAGAAGAATAAATGCTGTGAAACTTGTCTTCTGAATAAACATGTCACTCACAGTATTTAAACACTGGAATCACTCTCTTGGAACCAGGGCATGTAATACAGAGATAGCAACACTGGGTTGCTCTTGTCTTCATTGTTGAAGACAGTCTTGATGCTTTCATGATGTCTGATGTTTTCATGATGTCCATGAAAACTTCAGACCATGGCCAGAAGGCTTCCTGACCCACCCTCAAAACTAGAGAATCATGGAAGTTATCAAAACCTGCAGATTTCAAGGTTTAAAAGTTTCAAGTCTCTTATGAGTCCAGTCTCCTAGGAGGAGAGAGATTTCTCAAATGTGCTCGAGTGACCTTTGAAGGAAATGCTGCACATCTCAGATCCTCATATGCTGTGTGGCCCCATGTTTCTTCTCTTCTGGATTTTGCCTGCTACCTGAAATTCTTGAAAGGCCTACCATCTTCCAAGGTCCAGGAGACAGGAGAGTAATCAAGGTCCAATTAACTAAAAGCTGAGAACTCAAGAGTTTCAAAATACAAAAAGAAACAGTATTTGGGACAGAAAGAAGGGTCAGAGAAGCAAAATAGTAGGAATGGGAAAATTTTCTCTTTCCATTTTGGAAACTGAAAGGGCATCCTTGTGAAGTGCACAGAAAAGCAAGAGATGTTTGTGAATTTATTCCAATTATGGGTTGTGAGGGAAGGTACTTATCTGAATGGTTATATGTGTTTTCTCAAATGAAGTCAGTAAGGGAATTATTTTTTTAATCAATTAGTAACATGTTGTTTTTAAAAGTAGGTTGAAGTAAAACCACGTACAAGTAAAGGCTTATGTGTTATTGCATATGGGCAGTTGAGATACTGGAATCAAACTAACCTCAGTATCCTTTTAGGAACACCAATAGCTGCTAAGAAAAGATGAAAGGAACAAGAAATAAAATCTATGCATTAAGTTGCTCTGAGGTTAGTAGATGGAATATTATAAAGAATAAGCAGCTATTATAAAGATGGAACATTATAAAGAATAAGCAGCTAACAGTTGCCAAAAGCGAGCTTTTTTAAGATACAGAAGAAAGCCTTCTGCTCTCCATTCTCTCAAATATCTATTATCCAGTCTACTATTAGACATATATACTTATGTATGAAACAGGAGAATGGTGAGGCTTTCCACTCCCGTAAAGATTTACAGTCTTGGAAACCCTATACAGGGTCACTGTGAATTGGAACCAACTAACTCAATGGCACATATAACCACAACCAACCTATGTGCAAAAAGAGGTGGCTAAAATTTCTACACAAGTCAGAGCACTCAATTGTGATCATCTACAATTCTTGGAGAAGTATATACACAATCTAAAAAAGGGCCGCTAAACTATAGTCCTTTCTGTGTGGTTTTGGATGTGTAATCACAAAATGTCAGCATCAGAAAGTCCTTGGTGAAATCCAATTCCTAAGACCGCATTCCAAGTTGCCATTTGGGAATACTAAAAATTTTGATTTGAATGATGGGAAGAAGAAAATGAAATTATACAAATTCTTCTTAAAGGCAACCAAATTGTCTATAGTAGTAAACCCAAACCTTAGGAAAATTGAGGTATATTGCTAAAGTATTCAGTAGGGGTACTGACGTTTTCTGTTTTCCCATTTGTTTGAGGGAAGGTGTGATGTGCACTGAATATACCAGTTAACAATAAATGTGGGAGGAATCTGTAGTGGAGAAGCAGGAATATGGAGATAGGTTTAACAAATGGAAAGGTTTGTTTTTCAAGCAGTGGTTTTTTACTGACATGGTACTTGAACATATTTTTCCTTTAATTACTAGAATCATCTTCAAAACAGGATCTTGCTAGTAAGTTTTATTTTTTTAAATTTGAAATGATCAAAAGTGATTTCTAGTGATGATTACCTGTTGAAGTGGTAACATATAGGGACATAACAGGTAACTAAAGCCTAAAGTCGAGTGGGAAGATGGGAAGAGCTATGACAAGCTTTAACAGCTAAGGTACTAGTGGACTCACTGAAATAACGCTGTTAAGTGACTCATAATATTCCTGTGTAGGGTTTTCAAGAAGCTGGTGGGTAACCTATGGTTTGCAGTCGAGTACTACAACACAACACCAGGTGTCTGAAATAATAAGACTTCACATATCTCTGTATAAAATACTTTGTAGGTTATCAAGGATATTCATATTCATATGTGATTTTATCTTCATTATAGCTCTGTGAGGGAGATATTTCTAAATTATGAAAGAAGAAATTGAGGCTTCAATGGGGAACATAGTAAGTAATGGATCTGGGACTTTAACCTCCCTCTGACTCCAAATGCAAGATCATTTATACAACATCAAGAATCCCTATATCCCTTTATAGTGTGGGGATTTCTTGATATTTGCCACCCTGAAGCTCTAATTCATACATAGCATGGTGTCTTGAACACAGCAGGTATTCAGTAAATGTCAGGGCAATGGAACTGAAGTGAAAACCAGCCACAGCACTTTTCAGCTTTACTTCTTTGCGTTGATCAAACCCATTCAAATTTGAGCATTCTATGCAATTAATCAGGGAGTGCGATGGCCCTGCAGGATAAGTGTTGGGCTGCTAACCACGAGGTTGGCAATTTGAGCCCATCAGCTGCTCTGTGGGAGAAAGATGAGGTTTTTGCTTCCACAAAGGTTTACAACCTTGGAAACTCTATACAAAGTTGCAGTAAATCAGAATCAACTCATTGGCACTTAGTAACAACAATATCCAATTAATCAATTTGAAAACTTACTGTACACATTTATGTCTGAGTGTGACACAGGGCTCTTTTTCAAAAAGCAGTCACAGACTGCTTTGTAAGGGAAGAGGTTGATTGAGACATGAAACTAATTTTAAGACACAGACAGACTCAGATATTATTATGAGGATTTTTGTCAACATTTCATTTTACCTACACCAAAGAGGGCTTGTAATTCATATCAGCAGGTGGCAAGTCAAAGGATTTTATATCTAAGAGCTTCCATCTCTTACAGATAATTCACAGAAGGCAAATAAGAATTGAAGGTACCAGATCCGCTCATCATACGGTTGCAACATTCACATGAGGAAAATTTCTCCTATCAACCCTTTTGTCACCTTTCCTGGCTACCTCAGTGTCCTCCCCCACCACAGTCCTGCTTTTTCCTTCCCACTGAAGACTGCAGTTATAGAATTTTTCTGGAGTAAAGTAAGCTAAGCAACAAAAACAAGGTTGGTTTTTCTCAGATATTTGTTTCGCATTTGATGTGGCTTCCTGGAAAGCTGCACAAAGAGCATCTGCCTGGGATGTCTGGGAGTAATAGACACTACTTCAGATGCCTCTGTTAAAAATATCTTAAATTGAGGCTGGGTCAATTCATTCATAGTACTTTGGTCTTGTTAGAGTGTACTACTGGCTTGTGAGCAGGAATGGATGAAGCAATACACATGAGCACCCACACATGGCCCTGTGTCAAGGTTAAAACACAAGTTGGTTTCTGTAAATATATATATAGGCAGTCAAGGTATTTAGTGCCTCACAGAAAACCAGAGATGGATAATTGCTCTAAATTAGCCCTGAGAAGGGAAAGGAAAGTGTTGGATTCTAGTCAGTTGGATTTTGCAGGCTGATAATGAGTAATCAGATATTAGGCTACAGTTTCAGCCTTTCTTCAAGTTCCATTTCCAAATCAAAGTAGACCAATGAGCTTATTTTTTTTCATGAAAGATGCAGGTCCTTTCATGCAGCAGCAGGCAGCAGTGATGACCCTGGTGCTAAACAGATGGAAACATGAAGAGATGAGGGTTTTGCAGGGAGAAAATATTTGTTGGTCAACTACTGTCAAATCTTTCTGGAATGGTGACAGTGCTCATGATAAAGATAGACAGAAAGAGTAATGAAGGAGAGCTGCCCTTGTAAGAGCTACCTATTCTTTCTGTCAAGCTACTATGCTACCAAAAATATGCTTTTGGAAATGATCAATAGATTTGCAAAGAAAAGGAAATGATTAATATGCCTGTTCATAGCTGGGAGGCATGGGATATGAAATTGGCTCTGGCAGTCTAGTCATAGGATTCTTATTCCAGGTGGCCAGTCCTACAATATAGGAAGCTGTTGACTGAAGGATAATCCTGGGTGTTCAAGGTCAGCCTGTGCCTGGGTCATCCTGCACCTGTGATTATTCTGGATCCTTAGTTGCCTCATTCTAGTCATCATTTAACAACAGGTTGAGGCCATTAAGTCCCCTAGGGCGCTCTGCCTAATCAAATCCACAATCATTTTGGGTCATGATACCTGCTTCACATTCTGCTCCTATGCCAAGCCCTAGAATGAGGAGTGTTTTGGTTAAGGATAATGGCATTAACAGCATCATTGGACATGCAGGAAATAGCCTGCACTTAGAGTTTGGCTGAATTCCTTGGAAGCATCAACAAGGGAAATAGTGCTTGAAGAGACAGAAAAAGAAAGAGGAAGGATGGGAGAGGAAGAGGGAGGAGAAAGAGAAAGAAAAGAATCATACCTCCTAGAGTCATCCCTGCTTCATAGCATTTCCGGAGGCGACAAGACGGACAATTTTTCCTTCGGAATTTATCGATAGTGCAATCATTTCTGCTGGCACACAGGTACTTCTGCTTCCCTGGGAGAACAAATACAAGAGCAGACAGATCTATTAATGCTTCTCTGGTATTTCTCTTTTTTAGTATCTCTAGGCGGAAATGGCATGAAGTTATATCCTGCCAGATGAAATAATAGCCACAAACAATTTGACCATACAGAAACTATTAAGACTACTTTTAATTCAATGCTATATTGTTTGGCATACTGGGTTGCTAACTTCAAGATCAACAGTTCAAATCCACTAGCTTTTCTGAGGGATAAAGATGAGACTATCAGTTTTCACAAAGATTTACAGCCTTGGAAACCCTATACAGGATCACTATGAGTTAGAATGGACTCAAAGACACATAACAACAGCATATTGTTTGGACTGTATAGGTGTTCTTGCCAGGTCCTGCTGATATCTTCATTATTAGGACTTCTTGTTTTTGTCATCGAGCTGATTCTAACTCATAGTGACCCTGTATAGGGTTTCTGAGGAACAGCTGGTGGGTTTGAATCATTGACCTTGTGGTTTGCAGTCCAGTGCTTATCCTACAGTGCCACACCAGAAGTCTTTTATTATTAGGACTGTTGCAATGTGCTGTGGAGTTGGTTCCGACTCACAGAGACCCTGTACAGGGTTTCTGAGGCTGTAAATCTTCATGGGAGCAGAAAGCCTCATCTTTCTCCTGAGGAACAGCTGTTAGTTTCGAACTGCTGACTCTGAGGTTGCAGCCCGATTTGTAACCACTATGCTACCAGAACTCCTTATTATTAGGACTACTCACTGTTATTTTAAAGAATGTGCTCTACCTTTATGAAAAACTAGAAATACAACATGCAAAGAAATGATCAAATAACATAGTTGACTTAGACTCAGTCAGTGTTTCTTCCTACTGATGTCGAGATGACATCTGTCACAGAGGCATACTTAAGCTAACAGATGTTTATTCTTTCAACGAAACATTACAGGTAAAACATTTACAAAAGATAACTCATTGTACTGTTAATTATTTTTAAATTGCTGGTGGTCATGTCCCAAATCCTGCAGTCTGTATAATCAAACAGAGACAGAGACCTGCATTGTAGTGAATTACATCATATAGCTCTTCTGCCTTTGTAACTCCCACTAAACAACATTTTGCCCTGCTGGGTAAAAGAAGATGGGAAAATATATTGATATTGTTGTTAGGTGCCATTGAGTTGGTACCAACTCATAGCAACCTTATGCACAGCAGATTGAAACACTGCCCAATAGGATTATTATAATTCAGTTTTGAGTAGTTAATTGAGTAAATTGTGCTTATAAAAACTTGAAAGTTTAACATATATCAAACGAGCTATCTCAGAAGCAGTAATGGGGTAATCTCACTACCATCAAGAAGAACCGGAAGCGGTCTGCTGGACCCAGTGATCCCTGCTTATTGAACCTCCTCGACCTAAAGACAGAAAGCTGTGACATCAGAGGATTGACAGAGGAGCAGCAGTAACAGAACCAAGACCCAGAGCATGAGATTGTCAGCAGCATTAAAAGAACTTTGTAACATTGGTCAGCCTGAAAGAAGTCTGTTTGTGGGCCTCACTGAGAAAAGGCCATCCTGACTGGAAGAACAGTATCTTACACATTTTCTGATCCTGCAATGTAACCTGTTAACTTCCCTAATAAGCCTCATATATCCTAATATGATTTCTGAGTTCTGCGTGGCCACTGCGATGAATTATTGAAGTCGAGTGTTGTGGGAGGGATGGCTGGTGGCATTTTTTTGGAGGAGTTGATGTCAGAAATGGAATTTGTTGAAATGACTCCAGACTCATGGAAGTATAGGGCTTTTAAAGAGAAAGAACAAAGGGGAATGGGAATTAAAGCTGTTGATTCTTAGAAATTTACTCTGATGATTGCTAACTGTAATGGTTGAAATGAACATAAGAGATATTATGCTGCAACTGTGGAGTGGGGAAGCTGCTATTGGAGTCACCTCAGGTCAGGGTTTACTTGATCCCATCATTCCAGCCAGAGGCCCAAGGCCATATGCATATATGTAATGGAAATGATTATGGGGTATTTTGATTACAGAGAGCTTGTAAATCCACCTTCAGCCTATACTTGTTTGAATATTTTAAAAGGGGAGTTGGAAATTGCCTACAAGAAACAGAGTTTTTGAGACTTTGTAGAGTGTAGGGAATAAGAAATTTATGAGTAAAGGGGAGAGGGCAAAGGAACAGCTGGTCTGAAGTACAAGGAGGTATATGTACTCCCAAGCTTGTAGGTGGTACCTATTTGACCTAGCTAGGAGGTTAGGGCTAAGTTGGCCAGAATCCAACTGAATGAAGAGGGAGATGCTTGATACTGTGAGCTGGTGTAAATTGCTGCAGTTTTAAGACTTACTGTAGACTGGACTTTGCTTGTGAATGCAGAGGCCCAAATATCCAATAGGAACAAATGTTTTAAAGAACATGCTTGTTTTCTTAGAGTACTGGGTTGTTAGCAATAGGGAATTTAGAAATTGGATATATAAATGGGAGGAGATAAAGACATGAGACTTACATGCTTTCTTGAATGTGCTCAGCTAAAATTATTGTTATGGGGAAAAGTTAATCCTTGAAATATGTAAAGGCCAATAGCTATAAGAGCCAGGGATTTGCCTGAAGTGCAGTACATTATTTCATATAGTTCTTCAATCCATAGTATTTATAACGGCTAGGTCTGAGTGACAGGTGAGAGAAGATGTGGATAGGATTATATGACTTAATTGTGAATTATTAAGAGAATTAATTGTGATTGTAAAAATTTGGAACTCTTCACATGTATAAACAGAGCCATCTTAGAAGAAGGAATGAGGTATATGCCATCAAAGAAGTACCAGGAGTGGAGTATGTCCGTTGGGCCCAGAGATCCCTATGCATTGAACCTCCTTGACCCAAGGACAAAAAATTGTGACAACAGAGGAGTGGCAGGAGCATCAGCAGCAGAATCAAGAGCAAGAGAATGAGAAAGAGTGGTGGGCTTCCCAGTCTATGGAGCAAGTAAAGCTTAGTGACTCTGAATAGGAGGCTTGCTTGTAGCGTGTGGTGCCTCTAGGCACTTAAGTGGGCAAGGTAGGTTTGCTGGCCCACAAAGTTAGAGCTGAGTGCCTTCAGGCTGAGGCTTATGGTGGAGTGGTGTGTTCTGTGACCGTTTATCCATATCCCTAAAAAATTCCTTTGTAACACTGCCCAAAGAGAAGCCTGTCTATGGGATTGGCTGAGAAAAGGCTGTCCTGTCTGGAAGAACTGTATCTTGACATTTTCTGATCCTGAATTGTAATATATTAGCTTCCCAAATAAGCCCCATAACTATGAGTATGGTGTCTGAGTTCTGTGTGGCCGTTGCAATGAATTATTGAACTCAGCTGAGTAGAGAATGTTGTGGTAGGGATGGTTGATACCATTGTTTTTTTTTGTTGTTGTTGTTTTGTTTGGATAACCACTCTGTGAAATGACTCACAGAAAGTGAAAAGGAAGTCCTCTTATGCCAGCAGAGGAAAAAGATCACTGTCATATACACACATGGAGTTGTATCAGATACACAGAAATGCATACAGACCATGATCAGACCCAGAGATCCTCAGGATCACAGCTGTTAAGAATAGGACATGGAGGTCCAATCAAAACTCATACATAAGGGACTCATTTCTAAAATATATAGGAAACTACAACACCCCTACAAGAAAAAGACAAATAACCCAATTAAAAAATGGGCACAGGACATGAACAGACACTTCACCAAGGAAGAGACCCGAGCAACCAACAAACATATGAAGAAATGTTCACGATCACTAGCCATTGTTGTTGTTGTTGTTAAGTGCCGTCGAGTCGGTTCTGACCCATAGCGACCCTGAATAGGGTTTTCGAGGCTGTAAATCTTTACGGGAGCAGAAAGCCTCATCTTTCTCCCATGGAGCAGCTGGTAGTTTCAAACTGCTGACCTTGCAGTTCGCAGCCCGATTCATAACCACTACGCTATCAGAGCTCCTAGAGAGATGCAAATCAAAACAACAATGAGATATCATCTTACACCAGCAATAACAGCAAAGATTAAAAAAAGTACAGGACAATAAAAGCTGGCGGGGATATGGAGAGACTGGGACACTCCTGCATTGTTGGTGGGACTGCAAAATGGTCCAAACTCTCTGGAAAGCAATACGGCACTTCCTCAGAAGGTTGGGAATAGAAATACCTTATGATCTAGCAATTCCTCTACTTGGTATTTACCCACAAGAAATATGAGCCATAACACGAGTAGAGATATGCACACTAATGTTCATAGCAGCACTATTTACAATAGCAAAAAGATGGAGATGGCCAAAGTGCCCATCAACTGGAGAATGGTACATACACACAATGGAATACTATGTGACCTTGAAAAATAACAAGGAAGCTGCAAGCCACTGCATAACATGGATGAACCTTGAGGACATTATGTTGAGTGAAATTAATCAGTTACAAAAGGAGAAATACTGCATAGGGCCACTACTGTAAAAGACTAAGAAAAAGAACCCATACTAAAGGGGGGTAGATTCTTTGCTGGTTGCTGGGATGTCAGGGGTGCGGTGAGGGGAGGGGAAGGTGGAGCACAGGGCAGGGAATAGACACAGGATAGTTTGGGTGCTGGGGAGGGGGGCAATATACAAGAAGGGAGAGGGGAATGGA